AGTTCAGGCCCCACGACCGGACCCAACAACCCCCCCCCAAAAAAAAGCTGGAAGTGGTACTGTGGCTCAAGTGGTAGAGCACTAGCCTTGAACAAAAGCAGCTTAGGGACAGGGTCCAGGCCCTGAGGTTAAGCCCCAGGACTAGCACCAAAACAAAACAGAAAAAAGAGAAAAAGAAAAAAAGTCTTGAACCTGGGTAACCCCTTGGACCAGAAATTACTAGCAGTATCTCTAGGACAAGACAGTCATTCACAGAAGCCTGTCCTGTGAAACGTGCCTCTCTGCCTACGCTTCATTCACATTGTTTAAGTTTTTACCTTTTTGTGGGGTAATTAATATATTCTTGCTTCTAAAATTTTCCAACATAGACATGGAATAGGCTTATCATAACTAGGCCTAAATTATAGGTTGGTTTCTATCTACCACTAACTGGCCAGCATATTTCCATATAGAACTTTCTAGTTGAAATTTTTTTTAATGATTTAAAGCAAAAATAGAAAAGCTATTTTTATTACAAGGTAAAGCACTTAAAATTACTTTTAATTTTTTTTTTTTGGTCGGTTGTGGGACTTGAACTCTGGGCCTGGGCACTGTCCCTCAGCTCTTCAGCTCAAGGCTAGAGCTCTACCACTTGAGCCACAGTGCCACTTCCGGTTTTCTGGTGGTTTACTGGAGATAGAGTCTCACTGACTTTCCTGGCCAGGCTGGCTTTGAACCGCGATCCTCAGATCTCAGCCTCCTGAGTAGCTAGGATTAGTCATGAGCCACCAGCACCCAGCTCAATTTTCATAAATAACTCTTTAACACTAGTGGATAAAAACACCTGAACTTACTAAGTCTGTCACTTGCATTTTGCTTGTTACATTTTCCTTACTGTTAAGGCATTCTGAAGCAACTACTGAGTATTTCCTACTCAACTACTTCAGCATGTCAAGAATTAAGGTATTTTTAAAACCCCATGGTAAAGCCATAATTTCATCCAAGATTAATAGCCCTTTCTTAAAAACTTAATATTGCTTATTTAGGTGGTTGATATGCTTCTTGCTCCACCTCATTATATTCCTGAATATTGATAAGAATCCTGACACCTAAGAATTAGCTATAGATATTTGTGCACAAGATCATCTATTCCCATCTTGCTTCTTGTATGGCTGTGAGTTGGTTCCTCAGTGTTAAGACCTGCTGTTAAATCAATTTCTGTGCTTTCTATGTAAAACAAGATTGAAACAGAAAGATCATTTAAACCCAGCTCAGAATCAGCCTGGGCAACATAGTGAGACTGCCTCTTAAAAGCAAAACAAAACACCACTGCATATACACCTGGCTTTAGGGAAATTGTAATGGTTAGGGAGACAGCAAGGGATGTCCTTGGAAAAGGCTCAGTTGGCTTGGAGTGGTATGGGCAGAATGGAGTCCCAAAGGTTAAAGATCATGCAGAACACACCTCCAAAAGTTATACCATACCCTTTTATTGGACAAAGGGTCTTTGAAGCTATAACTTAAGAATCTTGAAATGAAGAGATCACCCTGGATCATGATCCCAATTAAAGCATCTTTATATGAAAAATAAACAATAGATGTTTTAATTGGCTGAAATTATAAGGACACAGTAACACACAACCATGGGAAGCTGGAGAGCAGGTAATGAATCCCCATGCCCAACCCCAGCCTTCGGAAGGAACTGAAAATACCTTTACCTTGAACTACCGCCTCCAGAAACTGAGAATAAATTTTACATATTTTTGCCTATTCTGAGGCTTGAGCTCAGGGCCTTCTGCTCTGGCTCTTTATTTGCATGGCTGGCCTGTCACTTAAGCCATGCCTCCAGTTTGGCATTTTTACCAGTTAACTCAAGATAGTTTTGGGGGAATTTTCTGCCTGGGCTGGCTTCAAACCATGATCCTTAAATTTCAGCCTCGAGTGTAGCCAGATTTCAGGTGTGAGCAGATGAAACTTTTAAACCACCTCATCCATAGTAATCTGTTATGGCAACCGTAAGAAGTAACACAGGACATTTCATGATTCTATTCTGTTTTGCAATTCCCAAATTCACTCATTAAGAAATTTTTTTTTTGTCAGTCGTGCGGCTTGAATTCTGGGCCTGGATGCTGTCCCTGAGCTCTTCAGCCCAAAGCAAGCGCTCTATCACTTGGACCACAGTGCCACTTCCAGACCTTCCTGCACAGGCTACCTTTGAGCCATGATCCTCAGATCTGAGCCTCCTGGGTAGCTAGGATTATAGGCGTGAGCTATTGGCACCCCACATTAAAAAACTCCATAAAGCTGTGGCAAGGTCGCATAGGCCCTACAGCAAGAAATGGACTCACTTGTGGTCTTGGGTCTAAGTACCAGATCTTTTTTGGCTCTTGTAAAAATTCTGCCCTAATCAGGGCCCCTGCCCTCTTTTTCAAGCCTTCTCTCAATGGACTTCAGGATCTCTGCATAAGTCTCCAGATGATCTCTGCTACCATACACCGTCATTCAGCTTTCAGATAATATGCACAGACCTGTTCTGCTTCTATTCCCTCATAGATCCTCCTACCTGTGCATGGATTTCTTGTGAATGTTGCCCTTAGAAAACTTGAGTGCATTCTTCAGCATCTTAACAGCTACTCACATAAAACTAAGAAATTTACTGCATTTGTGGACATAGAGAGGGGATAAGCTGGGAGTGGCTGGGGAGAAGATCCCACCTTCCTTAGTTGTATCAGCTCTCCCTATCTAATGTGGATAAACCATGAAGAAGGGAAGTCTAGAAACAAGCATGATCGGTGGCCCATTACTGCCATTTCTTGCTAGTCAAAGAAGAGGAAGTGTACTTGGCTTGTCTCAGACAGAGGAAAAATCCTGTTGAATATCAATGTGAGCTCCTCCAAGTCAGGCTAACTCACATGAAATTGGCATGGAGCTGGTGACACAGTCTCACTATATTATCTGTATCCATCCCAATGAGTGCTTACAATGCAGGAATCCCAAGGACATAGCCACACTAAATTTTCCAATGGGTATAATGGTGTTTTTAAATTTCTGGTTTATTTTGTTTTGAGATAGTCTCACTAGGTAATCTGGAAGTCACCATTTGATTCTACTGCCTCAGCTTCTGGAGCTCTGGGATTATACAACAGTGGTTATTATGCTAGATTCAGAAAAAAATGTTAACCTTCAAATGGATATCACCAGGATATAGACATCAGGTTCCCTAGCCAAGGATGGGTTTGGCCTGAAAATGGACCCTTCTGACTAGTCAGAGATAGTCAGGTGACAGAGTATTAATTCACATCCCTCTGATCTCCAATTTGGGTCCAGTAGGCCTGTAACAGTGCCCTAAAACTCCCAATTTTCAAGTCCAAATCTTGATTGGCCAGTGGGCTCACTCAGTGCTCAGGAAGACCCTCTTGCGTGCTGTGTTGGTATATGGGTGCCAGCGCCATTCCACATCTGCCATGGCCTCTTGTTCTAGTGTGCCCAGGCGAATCATATATACTGGAAAGAAGGGACAGGAGATCAAGATTTGCACAGCAGCCTCCCTTTCTATACCTCCCAGAGGGGCAGGATAAACCTCCAAACTCACGCTTTAGCTCAAAGCGCGGCCCTACTTCAGTCAGCTCCACATTTCGGTGGTCCTTTTTCTTGTAGGTGTGGTGCCTGTGGAGAGGAAGCCAGGCAGGGATGTGAGTTGGGAGCAGCTATAAGTTAGCCACAGAAACACAAGAGATACGAGTATCATGATACCCTCCCAGGCAAAATCCACAGACCCACCTGAAGGAGATGTAGTCATCCTGGTTTGCAAAAGTTATAACTCGGTGGCTATCATCTTTGGGCACAGGAAACAGGTAACGAAGGATGTCAGAGACCTGGTGTACAAGGAAGGAGAGTAGCAGATGCCAGGCCTGCCCTCCAGTCCTCTTTCCCTCTGTCCTCCCCCACCCAAGCCCTAAGACTTACTCGTTTTCCTAGCCGGGAGGTAAAACCGTGTGTGATGAGGTGAGGCTTAGCTTCTGACATGGTGCCCAGGTCGGGGATATCATGTCGCATGACCACATTGCATAGTGTGAAATAAGCAGTAGGGCCAAAAGGTAGGTGGCTGACAATAAGTCCCACTGTGGGAGCAAGGCAGATCTGTCAGAGAACCCATCTACCTTCAGACCATCTCCAGTCCCTCTTCCCTTCCATCAGACTCACCAGGTGTGCCTCGATGCTCATGGACAACCAAGAGGTCAGTGACCCCATTGGCTTTGCAGGCTCGCACCAGTGCCCCCACTTCATGTCGGCCTCGGTTCATGCGCTGGGCACCTGGGAACACCAGCTTCAATTCCTGCACATGGACCATAGTGTCCCATCAGGATTGGAGCCACCGGCCTCAGGCAGCTCCCCCCACTCCATGCCCACTGCTACCTTTGCAAACATCTTCAGGCGGGAACTGGGGTCTCGAGAAGTAGTGATCATGATTTTGGGATCCTCAACTCCTGCCCATCGATACTCATCATCTACATGGCTGGTCACACCTGTCAGGAGCATGAGGCAAGATTGCACTATTATCTTGCAGTTGAAATGCTAAATTGAGGACAACAGTTTGACAGAAATGCATTACATCCATGATGGCCAACCGGGCAGCCACTAGCCCACTGGATATGAAGTACAGGCACAATTGGGGAATGGAGATTTTCTGTTTTTAAGGCTAATCTGCTAGGGCCAGAAGTTAGGACACTGTCCTGCCCTGGTAGACAGATATTCCACTGATGAAGAAAATTCAAGAAGAAAAGGAGAATAATGTTAATTCCAGTGTGCTGTGCAACTGGGAACTCTCAGTGAACACCCCTGTGCTGCCATTTACATACACACAAGGGCATGTGGGAACACTTCTAGAAGCTGCTGGGAACACTTTCCTGGAAGAGCCTGGCATCCCCAGAGAAAGACATGAAAACGTATGGGCAGAGAAGTCACTTCAGTGTTGGGGATGGCTACATGGTATAGTTACCTTCACCACCAGCATCATCAAATTCCAAGGACCCTTGTAGGGCCAGGGCCTCCCGGCGTAACTCAGTGGGAATTAGACGGTTTTCTGTATGCAAAAAGACAGAGGAGGTGAGACATAAGCAAAGAGTTTTCAACTTATGTAACAGTCTATGAGCTAACAGCCTGTACAACTTCAATGGGAAGACACATTCTGTCTGAGTAGACAATTATTGAGAGGTAAGAGAAGTGACAAACCAGTCTGGCTACTAATTTCTATGTGTCAACTCATGGTTACAGACTTCATTTTCTAAAAATTGTTTTTAAATCACAAATATGTCTTACTTTTATGGCTAGACAAAAATTTAAATAGGGTTGCAGATACAGTTCTATAGTAAAGTACTTGCCTAGCATCTGTGAAGCTATGGGTTTGAGATGTAGCAGCACAAAGTTTTTGTTGTTGATGTTTTGTTTTTCTTTTTTCTTTTTAAAAGTGCTAGCCTTGAGCACAAGGAGGCTCAGGGACAGGGCCCAGGCCCTAAGGTCAAGCCCTGGGACAAAAAAAAAAGAACATAGACTGCTCTGTATGTCTAAATAGATAGTTCTCAGAAGAAGTAAAAATGGAAGGTGGCTCAGTGGTAGAGCGCTTGCCTTGCATGCATGAGGCCCTGGGTTCAATTCCTCAGCACCACATAAGCAAAAAAGCCAAAAGTGGTTCTGTGACTCTAGTGGTAGAGCATTAGCATTGAGCTGAAGAGCTGAGGGACAGCACCCAGGCCCAGAGTTCAAGTCCCATGACCAGCAACAAAAATAAATCAATAAAATAGAAGAAGTAAAAATGGCCAATAAAAGCAGATGCCAGTAGCTCATGCCTGTACTCCTAGCTACCTCAGTCTCTCATGAGACTGCCATCTGAGGACTGTGGTTCAAAGCCAGTGAGGACAGGACTCTATTTCCAACTAATCAAAACACTGGACCTGGAGCTGTAGCAAGTGGCAGAGTGCTAGCCTGGAGCAGAAAAGCTCAGGGACAACACCCAGTACCTGAGTTCAAGTTCCAATTCTCTCTCTCTCTTTCTCTCTCTCTCTCTCACACACACACACACACACACACACACAGAGAACTAATAAACACGTATGCCCAACACTTATAGCCATAAAGTAAATGCAAGTCAAAACAACACTGAGATTCCACCTCAGCCCAGGAAGATTGGTCATCATAAATAGGAACAACAACAAATGCTGGCAGAGATGTGGGGAAAAAAGGAACCCCATCACACTACTGGTGGGAATGGAATTTAGTGTAATCACTTCAGAAGGTGGTTTGGAGACTGTTCAAAAAACTACACATAACTCTATGATCTAGCAATATCACTCTTGGGCATCTAATCTCATTTTTCTAGAATACTACAAGTCAGGATACAGTAAAGACACTTGCATATCCATGCTCAATGCTGCACTATTCACAATAGCCAAGTTATGGAAACAGCCCAGATAACCTACAATGGATGAGTGGATTAAGAAACTGTGGAAGCCCAGGATGGTGGCTCAAGCCTAAAATCCTACTACTCAGGAGGCTCAGATCTGAGGATTGTGGTTTAAAGCCAGCGTGGGCAGGAGAGACTGCAGAGAGAGAGAGAGAGAGAGAGAGAGAGAGAGAGAGAGAGAGAAAGAGAGAGAAGGGGGAGGGAAGGAATGAGAAGGGAGGAGAGGAGGGGGAAGGGAGGAAGGGAGGAAGAGGGAGAGAGTGGGAGAGAGGGGGAGAGTGAGAGAGAGCCTCTTATTTCCAATTAATCACAGAAAAGGAGCACTGGTGGTAGTGGTGAGCATAGCTGCTTTCCAATTAATCACAGAAAAAGCTGCATGTGGTGTGGTGGCTCAAGTATTAAGAGTGCTAGCCTTAAGCAAAAGGAGCTCAGGGACAGTGCCCAGGCCCAGAGTTCAAGCTCCTGGACTGGCAAAAATAAATAAATAAATAATTGGAGTTTTATTTATCTATCAGAAAGAATAGTATGTCATATACAAGGAAATGTATAGACCTAGAAAAAAATGTAATGTGAAGTCAGGCTCAGAGAAACAACAGGTGCCATGTTCTCTCTCATATGTAGAAGTTAGATCTAAATTATAATTATATACTATATATACATACATGTAAATTATAAAGCCTATACACATATATACACTAACAGATTGGCTTAAAGATAGCATACTTCAAGGAGGATTCCAATGTTATAACTCCTCTCAACAACAAATAGTTCAACAAAATCAATACCAGGGCACTGAAACAGCTTTTATGTGTGGAGTGTATGTGTGTGGGCACAGCAAAATGATAAGAGAAGGGGCCAGTGGACAAAATAATTATATTCAATGCACATTATGTAATTAAGCTGAGCTTTGTAACTTGAGGGTATAGATGGTTTTAGGAAAGATGAAAGAGAACAATGCAAGGGGTGACATTGATCAAGATTCATTTAAACTTATTTGGCTTGAAGTGAAACTCCTTTGTACAACTATTTAAAAACAAAAAACGTGAAACAACAGACTGCTCTGTATGTTGGAAAATAGACCAGTTAACTGAAACTCTTTAAATTGGTAAGTTGCTACTCAAGATGCACCAAATACTTTGAGGTGCTCGGCCTCAGCTGGCTGTAGGTCAAAGGTTTTAAGAAGAGCAAGGCTGTTATTCTGGAATAAAGAACTCAAGGTAAGTAGCCTGGTGAACCTTCCATGCTCTCTTATGACCTAGAACAGTCAGTACTCTTCCTAACTACCTAAGACCTTTGTTTTCCATGAGTACATAGTTGCTTTCCACTATAGAAGACAAAACATAAATGCACTCAAGAATGCTATACTGCATAGAGTTCAATACTGTACTGAGGATATTTGATTCAAATGATTTTTGAGACACCAATGAAGCACAACCACCCCCACTGGAAAAAAAAAAACCCACAAACACCCAAACCAAACAACTGCAAAAACAACACATGCTATCTATTAATGCCTTTAGAACTAAACCTCAAACAATTATGATTTAGAGATACAAAATGGTGTAATGTAAGCACAAAGAATGGCAAACAAATAATTCATTTAAAAAAACATACTCAATATAGAGGCTAAGTTGGAGAAAGCACTCTTGAATTTTTTTTTTTTGGTCGGTCGTGGGGCTTGAACTCTGGGCCTGGGCACTGTCCCTCAGCTCTTCAGCTCAAGGCAAGCGCTCTACCACTTGAGCTACAGCGCCACTTCTGGTTTTCTGGTGGTTTATTGGAGATAGGAGTCTCACAGTCTCTCCTGCCCGGGCTGGCTTTGAACCGCGATCCTCAGATCTCAGCCTCTGGAGTAGTTAGGATTACAGGCGTGATCTTGAATTTTAATGTATTGGTCATTTTTCCATTTCTTAAGACAGGATGAATCACAAGTGCTTAGCATGCTTCTTAACTCAGATAGTTATACATACTAAACGTGCTTATAGTCTATGTTTAGTTGGTAACCTCAAAGTGAATTTTAACCAAAGGTACTGGATAAATGTACAATCAGCTATGAAATAAAAAGTTACACACTCAGGAGCTGGGAAGGTGGCTCAGTGGTAGAGTGCTTGCCTTGCATGCATGAGGCCCTGGGTTCAATTCCTCAGCACCACATAAGCAAAAAGAAAAA